TTTTAATTTGCARAATAATTTTAAGAGTCTATTTTATTACCATAAATAATATATTTCAAAAGAAATTCAAATATACTGTGAGCTATTTCAGAATAATTAAAAATCTTTTCATATTTTTCCCATGGCTTAACTTACATAATTGACATGCTATCACAGTCTCAACTATTTAGCATTTTGGAGAAATTTAACCACAAAGACAAAACAGTTTTAGAATGTCAATTTCCTTACAGAAATTAGTTCATAATAAGAAACATGATCTTTTTTCCTACGTAGAGGGTATATAAATCTGTATTTCCACCAGGATGGAACATCCACATCTGTGGCCAATAGAACACTTGGTTTATATAAATGTAAATAGATAGATGTGTGTATCTCCATAGCTAGGTGATACAGAATTCCAAGTTTGAAGAGACAGTATGAGAGAAAGAAGTCTTTCAGATATAGAATCAGTTTTGCATAATTTTTTCATGAAAAATCCTTTGAATTAATACATAGTATATTCTTTATTTTAAAAAACTTAATGCTTATGAATAAGAGAACCTTGTTAATATCTATAAAGGTCAGTATGTAATACATAGTAATATCTACTCACAAAGAATACATTTGTAAGCYTTACAAAATATAGTTTTAAAATAATTTTAAGTATTATTCAGTTCCCTGTAGACTCTATTACTAATGTGTCTGCATCTTATGCAGAGTAAGCCTAAAGCATGGATCATTGGTAGTGTTGCTCTCTGAAAGAGTGAATAGGCAGCTGACTTATGGATACAGAGGTCAGGTCACTGTATCACTGGCTTTCTAACCTAGATCAATGATTCCAACTGTTCATTCTATACAAGTGCAGGTGATCGCAATCATTTACAGATGCATTATAAAGTTCTCATAACACTGTAAATACACTTTAAAAGAATGTCTACATAAATAAAGTTTTTTAAAAAGAAAGAAAATACAGAAGGATGGGAATGGATAAAAGACATTAAATCTAAATAAAGTCTTAAATAAAAAGAAGAAAAAAAAATAGAACCCCCCAAAGATTAGAATGGACAAGAGACTAAGACAAGAAAATGTCAAAGCTAAGGACCTGGGGTTGCTGTGAAGAGCTAAGCTGCAGAACTCTAGTCAGGACTAGCTCCTTTGGATCCATAACTCCCTGACAATTAGCTTTCCTTTAAAGCACGTGGCCACTCAAGTATAGCAGTGAAGGACAACAGAACCCCAACTGACCAAAATACTTCTGAAATTCAGCTGAAGGCTGTCCTTATTAACTCTTTGACTTTAACATTTGTTGGAAATCTGTATAAAAGTCTACCTTGCTTCTTTGGGAGAAACTAACAATAAACTTAAATGAAAGTTTCTTGGATGTTGAGGATCTATCTATACCTGGGACCAGSAAATGTTTTCTTAAACACCCAGACAGTAAATATTTCAGGCTTTGTAGACTACAGGCATTGATGACATGTAAACAAATGAGCCTGTGTTCCAATAAAACTTTATCTACCAAAAAATAACTCAGTGGATTGAATTTGGCCTATAAGCCATAATTTGCCAAACTCTGCTCTTGAATATTTTATATTAAAAATACTTCCGGGGCTGGAATTGTGTCTCAGTGGTAGAGTGCTCCTGTACCATGTATGAGGCACTGGGTTAGATCCTCAGCACCACATAAATGAAAAATAAAGATATTGTGTCCACCTAAAATTAAAATATATATATATATATATATATATATATATATATATATATATATATATATTAAAAAACACTTCCATGCTTTTTAAAGTCAGAAATTCTCAATGACCTTGTCAATTATTTTTCATTAGAGAAAATGTGAGAAAATGTGTATGTGCCTCCCCAAACAACATTAACTTGAGCTCTACTAATTGGGCATTTGGGATTGTACCTTTGAACAGACTGAGGTTTACCACCACTCCATCTTGCAAAAGCAGTGCTTATTCTCTGTGATAACCGGGCCTGAGAGGACTTGTGTATAAAAGCTCAAGAAAACAAACTCACTCACAAATCTCAAAGCAAGTTGTAGGTATACAAACTAAGATGATTAAAAACAAATTGTATCTGTTTATAAAGTGTTCAAACTTAATCATTATTTCAAAATAGTTTTAGCTTTAACTAGTATATATCTCAAATCACTACAATAATATTTCTTTAAAACTATCCTATAAATTTCTATTGTTCTCTCATTTGAACCACCTAGCTTTCAAGTCAGTGAAGTTTTAATGAAGCATAAGATACTCATTCATTTACAAACTTTCACTGAATGTTTATTAGCAGACAGACACTGCTTGAGAAGTTGGAGATTTAAGAATACAACACAGTCTTGCCACTAAGAGATTCTCAGTCTGGCAAAGAAATCTCCTCAGAAAACAACAATGAATCTTTAAGAATAATCTTATTGTCAGGCTAATTGTTATTTTATTTTTATTTACTTATTTATTTTTGTGGTATTGGGAATGAATTCAGGAGTGCTGTACCACCGAACTTCATTCTGAGCCCTGCCTCCCTTTTATTAAATTTTGATACAGAGCCACTGAGTTGTTGAGGTTCTCCCAAAGCTGCTGAGGCTGGCCTTGAACTTATGGTCTTCCTGCCTCAGCCTCTTTAAGTCCCTGGGACTAGGGTCAYGTGTTGGCCATCAGGTTAACTTTTCTTTGCTTCTTTTTGGTACAAGGGATTGAATGCAGAAGTGCTTAACCACTGAGTCAGCTCCCTAGCCCTTTTTATTTTCTGTTTTAAGTCAGGGTCTCACTAAGTTGCTTAGGGTCTCACTAAGTTACTTAGGGTCTCCCTAAGCTGCTGAAGCTGGCCTTAAACTTGCAATCCTCTTGCCTTAGCCTTCAGAGTCATTAGGATTATAGGCAATTACCACTCCACCTAGGTTCCGGTTAACTTTTAATATGAAAATTAATTTTTAAGTTCCAAGAAATGCTATAAGAAAGTAGATTAACTGTTGCCTAGCACTGGGAGTTTGTGGAACACTGAAATAACTGTGAGTGGGTACCAGGTTTCTTTTGGAAGGCATGAAAATGTCCTAAATTTGAATGTAGTGATGTTTGTAGTACTATCTGAATATAATAAAATTAAGTTAAGTATAAAAAAAAGAAATGGTGTAAATATTAGGAATTAGATATTTTATCAAATTAAGCATTAACATCAGTTTCACATATAGCTTTATATTTCTGCATTATTTACTTATATAAATGGAGTAAAAATATGGAAAACACTGATTTTAGATATGTAATAAAACAAATGGTGTGTGCTACAAAGCCAAGTTTTTAACAAACGTTTAAGAGAAGCAAAAGTTGCAGAACAATACATACAGGGCAACTCCTCTTGGAAAGGACTGAAGAAACATGGAACATCTCTGAAGGACTGCTCACAGAGGTACTGGGGATAGTTATTCTTCTGCTCTCCTGACACCCTCACATGCTAAGCAAGAACTTTACCATCAAGTTACACTCCCAGCYCAAATGTACAAGTATTAGGCTTTTCTTATGAGATGCAAACAAAGGACAGGGGTGGGAGGTTATCTTCAAATTTATCTTTTTACTCTAAAACCTAAGAATGCTTTTTCCTCCCCTATCCTGATTTACAATTAGTCCCCCATCCACCCAGAAGGAAAAGTTAAAAAGAATACAGAAACCCAAACAATGTGTATAAACATGATTGTGAGAAAAGAGGCAGAGATTATCATTCACTAAACAGATTCCTTGAGCACCCCACATACCAGATGCTGCAGGTAAGAACAGCTAATATCTCCCTTTTCCTTTTCCCCTTACTCACAACATCCAGAACCACAAATTAATTAAAGAAATGCTTCTGGGCTGGAGATGTGGCTCAGCGGTAGCGCGCTCGCCTGGCATGCGTGCGGCCCGGGTTCGATCCTCAGCACCACATACCAACAAAGATGTTGTGTCCGCCAAGAACTAAAAAATAAATATTAAAAATTCTCTCTCTCTCTGTCTCTCCTCTCTCACTCTCTCTAAAAAAAAAAAAAAAAAAAGAAATGCTTCTGGCTGCTTGGGCAACACAAATGACAGGCTAGCATATTACGCTTTAACAGTCCATCATGGGGATTTTTAACTTAAGCAACTGTAAAATAAAAGTGTACTGACGCTAAAGATACTTTATAAACCTGTCACTTTTATCTTTCTTCATGACTTGATGGTTTAATTAGGTGGCTATACAATGCCATAAAGTTTCACTAAAAAAATTATAAGCATTACTAGTTGCTGGATATGAAACAAATCATAACACTGGGCTTTTATTCTCAGACTATCAGACTAAATGATAGTGAAATTGAATAAAACTTCTTGGAATTAGATTAGATAGAYATTTTTACTTTGTAAAGAGTGTCTTTGCTTGATTAGGATTTCTTGTGTTTCACTACATCAAGAAGTAAGATGGGAGTGCACAGCTTATTTAAAACCTAATGCTGGGAACAGAGAGCTTCCACAAAAACTATGACAAAAGGAAACAAGCTGATGCAAACAAACAAGGTTTTCTGAAAGAAGAAACTGATGATGCTTCTAACTACAAGAACTAATTTCAAATTTCTTTAAAAATTTACTCTGACAGCATAGCCATTTCTGGGTGTTTATTTCATGGAATGTGAAAACAAACCAAACCAAACCACTAAGTATCTAATTGTTTGAGTCTATGTGAACAGGAGTGACTTCCAGAAAGAACCATCAGTTTACTCCTTTTTCCTTTGCATTCACATGGAAATTTTAGTTGGAAAACAAGCTTGATAAGACCTACTAATGAAAATGGTAAAACTGGAACCCTGCCCAGTTTTTAATGTTGAATTAAAAAAAGAAGACCCATAAACCTGATGAGCAAACAAGGTCAGATTTATACTTCTTCATTTATTACTTCTGACATTTCTAATGGTTAAGTGTAAAATTTTTCACAGGGTACAGAATATATGAAAAGGTAATTGCTGCTAAAGTCTAAAATTCTCTTTTCAATTATTATTTACTGACCTCTTCTGGGACTCTCATGATTGAAGAGAATGCCATTCACTGCAAAGAGATTATATGCCTCCCGGAAGTTCACCACAATCCAATAAGCATACAATTTTGCTGCCCCTGTTGAATTAATTTTTTAAAAACAAATTAAGTTTATTATAAAAGACAAGGATTTTCACTTATCTTAAAGAACAAAAATTACAGTTTGTTTCAAAGTAGCAAAAAATGTGACTCCAAAGCCAAAAGAAAAAAATAAATTCCTATGCCAGTTAATCAGGTTTACCAGGAAATATTTAATAATTTCCTACTTTTGTAATAGCCACAGTTTGTTCTTTCTCCATCTAATTGTTTCAACTGTACTGTGTGCAACTGCGATATATCAAATTCTCCTTTCTAGGTAGTTTTTGTTTGTTTGGTTTTAGTTTTAAAGAATTAGAAAGAAAAAAAAAACTGGGGATCTTAACATTTAGATGTTTTGAAATTTTATCACTAAAGTCTTTCATGAATAGTCTCTTTACAAATATATTAAATGTGATAGTAATATTTTTTCCCTAAGGGTTTGGGTTCAGGGGAAAACTTTTATGAGAGACATAAAAACATGAAATCTTATCACTTCAGCACAATCTCAGAGAGTTTAGAAAAAGAATAATGTTGGGTCTAATTTTTCTTTTAAAGTGATCTGTGTAGAAGGGTTGAATGAACACAGATTGGTGAAGTGAGGTGGTAATTTTACCCCGAAGGCAATTGCAGCAAATACTTGTAGTTAGCAATGTATAAAGGTATGCTTCTCAACAAGTCTAGTCACTGTAGTCTATCTTAATGTTAATCTCACACCCAAATGACTTCAGCCATGAGACATGTACAGAATGAAAGCAGAGCAGAAACACGCCCCCCACACCCACTGAGCTCGCCATGCAAGCAGACAGCAGTGCACACACGGGTTCTCACCATAGGGCGACCGAGGATAGAATGGGGTAGTTTCCTTCTGGGGTATTTCTTGCACTTTCCCATAAAGCTCACTTGTTGAGGCCTGATAGAACTTCACAGAGTTGATAAGACCACAGGTCTTAATTGCATCCAAAAGCCGCAAAGTGCCAATCCCATCAACATCTGCAGTATACTCAGCTAAGTCAAAAGAAATCTGGAAAGAGAAGGCAGAGATGTGGCCAAATCAGTGGGGTGAGGAAGACTACAGTTTCATACACTGTGAAGCATCATGTGGGTGAGGAAACACCATCGTTTTCAAACAGCAGAGTAATAAGACTGTGGATGTYGTCTACTTCTAATATCAAATGGCTGGAAAAATATTTTAATATCCACTCATTACTTATGGTAATGTGAAGAACAGTTTAACCACCCTTATATTAACATCCCATTCTAGGTTGAAGCCCTGGGGCACTACTTATCACAGGGCAAAGCTCTGCTCCTAGAAGATGTTCCTTTAAAATTCAGTTTGGACTAATTTCTTGAGTGTGGCTCATAATTTTCACATTTTTAATGAGTTCCAATTGATTATTTTGCACTGAGAAGATTGAGAACATGTGCTTTAGAATACAGTTGATTTTTAAACGGACTGTTTGTTTTCTATTTTTAAACTAAGAAGCAAGAAGGACTTTGTAATATTTTGCAAGCATATGTAATTTTTTTAACGTTTATTTTTTTAAAAAAATTGCTTTTATTTTTTAAATACATGAAGTGGAATACACCACAATTCTTATTACACATATAGAACATAATTTTTCATATGTCTGTTTATATATAAAGTATGTTCACACCAATTCATGTCTTCATACATGTACTTTGGATAATGATGTCCATCACATTCCATCATCATTGCTAACCCCCTGCCTCTCCCTTTCCCTCCTATCCCTCTGCCCTATCTAGAGTTGTCTATTCCTCCCATGCTCCCTCTCCCTACCCCACTATGAGTCATCTTATATCAGAGAAAACGTTTGGAATTTGTTTTTGGGTGATTGGCTAACTTCACTTATCATTATCATCTCCAACTGCATGCATTTACCTGCAAATGCCATGATTTTATTCTCTTTTATTGCTTAGTAATATTCCATTATGTATTTTATGTCACATTTTTTTTTATCCATTCATCTACTGAAGGGCATCTAGGTTGATTCCACAGATTAGCTATTGTGAATTGTGCTGCTATAAACATTGATGTGGCTGTGTTTCTGTAGTATGCTGTTTTTAAGTCCTTTGGATATAGACCGAGGAGTGAGATAGCTGGGTCAAATGGTGGTTCCATTCCCAGTTTTCCAAGGAATCTCCATACTACTTCCCATATTGGCTGCACCAATTTGCAATCCCTCCAGCAATGTATGAGTGTGCCTTTTTCCCCACATCCTCGCCAACACTTATTTTTGTTTGTCTTCATAATAGCTGCCATTCTGACTGGAGTGAGATGAAATCTTAGAGTGGTTTTGATTTGCAATTCTCTAATATCTAGTGATGATGAACATTTTTCATATATTTGTTGATTGATTGTATACGTTTTTTATTATAAGGCACAGTGCATACAGCAATATACTAATATACATATGAATTGACTTCTTAGAGAATCTTGAGAAATAATTCAATGTTCTGCAGTTCTTTATGTTTTTTTAAATACATTTGACTGATACACTTTCTTAAATCATCTCTACACTTAATAAACAAGTTAACCTAATATTAAATGTTCTAAAATAATAAGTCTTTATCATTATTCACTGCTTTGTGAATGCCCTCAGTCTTCACACTGCGAAACTTCTCACTGAGGCCAACAGCACTCTTTGTTTCTTGGTCCTGAGTGGCCCCTTAGCAGAAGCTGTGGCCTGAACACAGTATTACTTGGGCAATTGGGAAATTGCTCACTAGGGACTCAACCAAGTCTACTAAATTCACGTCATCTAGGCTTGTAAGCAAAACTCAGATTGAAGCAAGACAGAAAAGATATGTCTCACCCTAATCTTTCAAAGCCACAAAGGCAAATTGAAGGCCATTTTATTTTTTAAAAACAATATTTATTGAGACATAATTTACATACCATAAAATTTACCATTTTAAAGTTTATGGTTCAGTGGTTTTAGTATAATCACAACATTATGCAATCATCATTACCATCTAATTCCAGAACATTTTCATCACCCCAGAAAAGAAACTCTGTACCCATTAGCAATCACTACCCAGCCCTTAATTCCCACTCCAACCCAGACAGCCACTAATCTATTTTCTGTCTCTATATAATGTCTCTAGCTACTGGGGACATTTACAAAAAATGGAACCATACAATAGGTGGGCTTTTGTGACTGGCTTCTTTAATGTAATGCTTTCATTTCTTTTGGAGATTCATTACACACACACACACACACACACACACACACACACACACACACACATATGAATGAATGAAAGGAGTTGCCAGGCTGTTTTCCAAAGTGCCCACACCATTTCATTCTCACCAGCAGTGACTAAGGGTTCTAATTTCTCCACATCCTAACCAAAACTTGTTGTGGTTTGTCTTTTTGATTGTAGTCATGCTAGTGGTTTAAAGTGGTATCTAATTGTGGTTTTGATATGCATTTTCCTGATGACTAATGATATTGAGCATCTTTTCATATGTTTATTGGCCAACTATATGTGTTATTCAAAAATGTGTATTTGAATCCTTTGCCCATTTTTAAATTGGGCCATTTGTCTTTTCATTATTGAGTGGATACAGGTCCCTTATCAGATATATAACTTGCAATCTTTTCCTCCCACTGTGAAGGTTGTCTATCCATTTTCTTAATGGTGGCCTGTGAAGCAAAAAAATATACTTTGTATTTCATCATTTATATTTTTGGTGTCATATTTACAAACACTTTGCTTAACTCAAGATCATGAAGATTTTACTTCTGTGTTTTATTCTCAGTGTTTTATATTTCTGTCTCTCATATTTATTTCTACAATCTATTTGAGTGAAGTTTTGTATATGGTTTGGGGATCCAACTTCACTGTTTCTCAGTTRTCCCAGCACCATTTGGTGGAAAGGCTATTATTTCATGGTTGAATGGTCTACATGATGGGCTGTTTTGTTCTCAGGAAAAGCAATGGCCCTATGTTGAAAGAACAGAGAACTGAGAAGACCTCAAGACTGGGGATATCAATAGCTACATGAAAACAAGCTAGTTTTACTTAGGTCTTCCTTATGGGGCAGACATAACACACAATAGTTTCTGTGAATAGATTATTTAATCCTAAGAACAGATAAGCACTTAAAGTGGGGCAAAGAAGTTATAGTAAGAGGTAGAATAGCATATTTTACTCATGGTGAATGTGATATATATTGTGTATATTACATATCTGCATTCTATTCATGGTTAAAAAATGTCCCATTAATCTTAGGAACTTAAGAAATTCATTATTCAGAGGACATACTCATGGCAAAGGATTTAAAGCAGTTAGGCTAAAGCTAGTAGATGAGGCAGAAGGCGGTGTGGTGGGGGGAGCAGTCTGTCTACAAATTTTTACTACATCAAGAATACAGTATACATCACATAATAAAAATTTTTGAGAATAAGACTGATAAAATCTAATAGTTTACAAAGTTTTTTTTTTTAAAATAAAGTATTAAATTAAGTAATTTCCTTTTTWAAAAAAAATCAAACAGTACTTTATAGTTTGATCAACTCCTAAAGGTTATGATTCTTAAAACATTGAGAGTTCATGGAGTTACAGCCCACTGGCTGAATATGGCCAGCTGCCTATTAGGGAATTAAAAGTTTCATGAGATACAGCCACATTCGGTCCTTTACACATTTTCCATGGCTGTTTTAGTGGTATGACCACAGAGTTAAATAGCTGTTACCTAGAATTTGTATTTCTCACAAAGCTGAAAATATTTATTATCTGGTCCTTAACACAAAGTGCTCTCCAATTCCTAAAATAAGTCAGTARTATCTGAGAGCCAAATGGATTATTTAAAAAATTTATTATGTTTCTGTGTCCTCTGTGTAGATGCTCCCAACTTATGATGGGATTACATCCCAGTACACCATCTTAAGTCAAAAACACATTTAATACACTGAACACTCTGGCTGAGCAACACAGGACACTGTGGAGTGTGGGTTGTTTCCCCTGGTGACCATGTGGGGCTGACTGGGAGCTGTAGCAGATGCCACTGCCCAGCATGGAGAGAGGATGGGACCACATATCACTAGCCAGAGAAGAGATACAAATTCAAACTTTAAAGTATCATTTCTACTGAATGTATAATCCTTTTTTTAGCACCACTGAAAAGTTGAAAAATCCTAAATTGGGGACCATTTGAGCTACAGGGTAATTACGGAGTATGTTTCTAGTTACAAATAAAGAGCTGCATTTTCAGAGACATGAAAACTTAGTTAATAAAAAATATTTTAAAACATTGAGTATACATAAATTAATTAATAAAATATATTATTTGAATGAATAAATTAAATTATTAAATGAATTGAATAAATTTAGCTAAAAAATTAATAAAAATTTATTTTTTATTGTTCACTGATAAAGAAGTCAAGACTGATTTTAAAAAACAAACAAACAAACAAAAAACCCAAAACACCAAAACCATTTTGGGTTTGGGTTTTTACCCCAGCCTACAAAATAATGCCTAATTCCCTTTATAGAAATATCTTCTTCCCTTGGCTGCTGGGTCTTCACATTCTTCCAGATGTCTTCTCCCTTCCTTGGCAGCAACTCTTCAGGCTCTGGTGCTGTCCCCATGGGTCTCCCCAGGTACTCGACATCTCTGCAACAGGATTCAGTGTAGAGTCTTTCCTCTTTCTACCCACCTTTTCTATGTGTCACAAAACCAAATTGCCATCTGACTATTGTTGTGCAGTTGGCTCCAAGGGCTCAACTCCCAGCCAACTCCCTGTTATTTGCCTTGTCTATTCACAGAAAAAATTAGCTTTTCTTATCACTTCCAGACAAACTCCCTCATGTAGATTTTACCATCACATTTAATAGCAACTAGCACAACAGCCTCCACCACTTCAATTACACCCCTCTACCTGGTCCCTCAAGTACTATTATCTTTTCTCACTAGTGACCCAGCCTCTCTGGCTATCCAGTGTCCTCACAGTTGTGCCAGCTTGTTCCTGCCTTGAGCCCTTATCCTGGCTATCC